AGCAGAATTCTGTTCAGAAAAAACTTCGCATTCGATATAGAAATCGAACTGTATCGAACGCGAGGTTCTTCCCAAAGGATTCTGCTTTCATTTCTCTGAATGTTTCTAATTTTTTTGTTTAAAATGATTCTTTAAGTTTACGCGCCGGGGCTATCGTCCTTGTTTTGGATAAAAATTCAAAATCTGCCGAGACTTTTAAATTAATCGATTATGAAATATCGCATGCTAGTTCGACCACGTCTGAGAGCGTGACGAATCATCTTAAATTTTTCTACCTTTTCTTGCAATGGGCCTGTTGCAAACTTTTGCTAGAGCAAAAATTAGAGTTGTTACCCATAGAAAGTATCTAAAAAAAAATCACGATGAGCGCATCGGCAAAGTCTGAAATGCACTCATAACTTCACAATCTGCGTAAGAAATTTGCGTTTTTTTTTAGCTTCTCACTTCAAAAACGATAGTACGGCACAGGTGAACATTTTGTTAGAAGAGTCGTTCCGTCGTCGGCAATATTCATCATGGCCGACGCTTCCGCAGTTCCGCGCGTGATTCGAGGAGTGTTCAAGGTCAAGCAAGGCAGGCGAGGAAAATATGAACGTAATCACGCCGATTTGATATCTGGTCTTATCCTGGTCAGGTGTTATCTCGTCCCATCACACGCGTTTTGGCGGATTAGCGTCGGCTTTAATGAATATTGCGGACAATGGAATGACTCCTCTAACAAAATGTTCACCTGTGCCGTAGTATGTATTCAAAGTTTCAAGCCCCCCAAAAATTTTGGGGAGACGCGGCGGGGGGTCAAAGTTTAAAACCGGCAAAATTTTCGCGAATTCCTTACTCCAAAACCAAGAAGTTTTGGAAAACGCCGTTTAAACGAGCGTATTCGGCGTGATCCTAACGTATTCAAACGGTAATTCGTTTTGCAAGATTTCAAAACAAAATTATTATTTTGGACTAAAACTGTCAACGGAAAAAACACCTAAAATGTTCGTTTGGTCACAACTACTAAATAGAGGCGAAATGACAGTTTTAGATTCTCCTTGCTCGATTTAAATACTAAGAACTAGTTCAAACTAATTGGAGTCCCTTCATTTACTTACCTATTTCTCAGCAACAGCTTTTATTTCAATTACTCTACCATGCAGTTTTCGCATTTTTCAATTCAATACTTTCTTATTTTCGTCTCCGAGATGGAAGATTCTCGTCGTGATAAACTGAATGTAACGGGGAAGAAGGTAAGTGAATACCTACATCGTTACCTTTCCAAAGACTTGCCTCAAGATATGTCATTCAATTTACTTAAATTGCAATCAGATATCTCCAAAGTTGGTCTTCCGATAACTTCTATTTTCAATTTTAGGATATTCCCCCAAAAATATAAATGAACTGAATCAACAGTGTATATATCAGGTATATTATACCTGTTCAAACGCTCTCAATGCCTAGGCGGCAGCCATTATGGCCGCCATTTTGGCTTTTAGAGAACTTCTATTAGCTTATTTTGTTATTTGGACTTCATTTTTGGAATCTACGACCCAAAAAACCTGTACAGCGACATCTCATTCGACGATATTTGCTTCAACAAAATATTTCACTGCGCAACGGCAGCTGTTTTGGTCGCCATTTTGATTTTTTGGGGCTTAAATGGATCCGTGGTAAGTTTTTAATGTCATAGGTGAAATCTACGACCCAAAGAACCCTACCAAGGACACCCTACTTGGCACTTATACATACCTATCGCAGTTTTGACCCTATCATGGAAATGTTGGCGGCCATCTTGGATTTGGGGCATCTTTTTGGGTTGGAGAATATTTTGGACCTCAAATTCGGATTTTACGACCAAAATTTTGGTAGAATGGACTCCAATCATGATACCATAAACATAATCCATAATTTTCACCCCCGAGCCCCCATTTTGGCCGCCATCTTGATTTTAGGGGGTTAGACGCAAAATTGAGCTTGACGACATCGAAATTCTGTTTTTACGCATCGAAATGAAGAGATGAAGATATTTTCCACACTTGCATCACTTTCCGTTCCACGAGAAGCTTTTTTGGAACATAAGAACCCGGACTAGTGCTTTCAAGAGGAATGCCGTCCTCATCTCATCTGCCGATTTCTAACCTGAAAATGTGTTTTTTGTGTGTCCAACACGCTACCACAAAAGCGCGTAGAAGATAGCATACGAAATGTCTTGCCAAATACTAACCTAACATGAAACTGAATTTTACCTTTTTCATGTACTTTAAAATAAAATCGGTGGAGTTTTAATCCCCCAAATGATTTGTAATAGTCTATCGAATGATTGGTTGCGATTTGACAAAGGACGGAGGCTTCTTTTAATAAAATGTTCCACTCAGAAGCTTCTAGGCCCATATCCTCAAAACTTCATTTTTGCACTTACGGCTCTCTTCTCTATATTCTCTATCACGGCAGAAATGTACTTTTTTTTGAACAGCGCGCCAGTCCGTGTTGTACTTTTCTACGTCACAGGAAATCTTCAAGATGGCTGCCTTGCCATGTTTACTTGTCTCCTACTTGTCTCTGGTTTACTCAAAGACATAAAGACGGAGTGCTCGTATCTAAAAGCACGGGGAAAAAGTGAAGCTAGGTTCGGCGCTGCGCGTTTGTGTGAGTGTGTAAATGAGCGCGGGAATCCATGGCGGCAAACGGAAATTTGATTTGAACTTGTCCTCTTGATTTTTCCTTATTTCTTCTTCGAAACGTGTTTTAAATGCTTAAAACGATTATATTAAGAAAGTT